GGGATGGTTCACTTCAGGTGCTTGATTTAAAAATTATATTCTTTTCTTCTGTATTGTATACTCATTGTATTAGAGTTCCTTTCCATTAAAGCTCTTATGTCTTGTCTTGATGTGGCAGATGGCAGAACCTCTTTAGAATAGGCAGGTTTGGGGGTTTAGGGGCACCCCTTGCTCCCAGTCCTGTAACAACACCACAATGGTAGGGCAACAGTCGGGTAAAATTGGAGCAGTAAGAGACTAACCGTAACCCAGATATAAGCATATATTTGTCTTTTCTTTAATTGGACTAACGTTTGTTACAAACGAGTTTGTACTTTAGATAGGATCTCCCTTTACATGTGCTGTTACCACACCGCATTTGCTAGCAAACCATTCAAAGGCATGATTTAGACATTCTCGTTGATGGCAATCCCAAACAACTTTGCCAGCAACAGGCATTGAGCGGAGGGAAGCTGGAGCTGCAGGACAGGTTTTCTCTGTTTTGTTCTATGCCATGTTCTCAGCACTGGAATATGTGTGGTGATTTCAAGTGACATGTTTTGACGCCATTTGGCATGAACCCACAGGTATGTGTGAAAGTGGAGATTTTGCAGAGAACTTGAGTCTTGCTACTGGGGATAAAGAAAGGATAAATGGGCTATTTGAATTACTTGGTGTCACCCTTTCTTCAGAACATTTTCATAAAATTAATTACCATTTTATTGGCAAAGCAGAACTGTATCAGATTGTGAAGCATGTGACAGATTTCAGATGATGGAATTCTATACAACAGAGTTTTATTACTGATTAAGACTCTTCTTTGTTAAACAATATATTTGATTTCTTATGTAAGTCTACCGATTTAATAATATTGTACTCAAGTTTCTTTCAAAGGTCAAGTGCTCTGTAAATTGAAGGTTTGAAAATGTATCAAAGTATCATGCTTAGTAAGTCAGGGGGAAAAAAAGAAAAATATCAGATGGTGTCACTCATAGCAAGAGTGTAAGAGTTTGGGGGGGAGGGTGGTGGAAGAAAAAGAGAGACAAACAAATATAATAGAGTAAAAATCAAAACAATACACAACTATAAACCAGCAACATCTTATGGGGTGGAAGAGGGAGTGTGATTGGAACTGGGATGCGAAGAGTTCACTGCACTGTGGTGATGGCACATGGGTGAATTGGTGGTGGGAAGCCCATGGGGATTACAATTGAGATGAAAAAATGTACAAAATGAAGAATGATGGAAAATAATAATAATAATAAGACGTATCAAAGTAACAGCCTTTTGGATCAGGAATTATAAACATAATCGTTTTATGCAAAATTTCAGTCATTTATTTAAAGGCAAATTGGCTTTAATGAATAAATAACTTGTAATTATTAGTCTTTTGAGTCTAACTAAATGTAGATGCTTGCTGTTGCTTTCCAATTACAGTTTAGATTTAGATGTGACTGAGTGATGCAAAGAAGATGGCTGTGGAGAAATGAGAGCTTCTCAAAAGTATCTCCCACAGGCCAGACATGTTCATATTTCAAAAGAACAATTACTTTAAGATAAAAGGAAGAATATACCTAACTGAGAATTAAGCTAATAGTGACCTCTGTTGTCATAACTTCTCATGTTATAACATATGAACTCTGGGAGCAATTAAGACACCAGGACTCATTCGCTTCATTTGGGTGTTCATATAGTTTTGATACTGCACTCCCAAAATTTCTTTGTTTTAAGACGCTTAGGTTCTCTTAAACTTACTACTGTCTTGTTGAGGTGTTTCCACTCTCCATATTTGACTTTTCCCAGGCTGGGAAGAGAGTTCATACTCTATGGGAAAAGGCAACCGTAGATGGTCTGGTATTTGAGTAACCATCTTGATTTTGTAAACCATTTTAGTTCTAAATAATTGAGATTTTTACCTTGAACTCATTTTAAAGAATCATAAGCCAGGAAATTAATGTTACCTTGCTTGTTTTGGTTTCAATTTTACTGCCTATAATTTGGTGAATGGCTTAGAATTCACAAACGGTTAGAGAAACAGACACAGATACATGTCAGAATATCTTAACAGTCCATCTGAGAGAGGTATAGGCCCTGAAATAAAGTAGGATCAGTAGACTTGGAGAGAAACAGATGGATTCTAAAGAGAATTAGGATGTAGAAGCAATGAGATGGAGCAATGCAATAAAAGCCCATGACAACCAGATACCACTTAGCCTCCTAAAACAGTCATTGTATTGGTCATCTAAGAGCTATACAAAAATTAAGTCCAGATTGAAAAAGTTAAAATTTCTTTATCAAATGAAGGGTAGTAAATACTATGTCGAGGGGAAATATGTTAGCATGACTAATAATGATACTACTATCTTCTTAGACTATATCAGTGCATCATAAAGTGTTGTTCCTATATTCATGGTATGTGATATACAGAATCAAGACATACACAAACAAGGATTTATTGAGTGCCTAGGTAATATATTATTCTTTAAAGAAACAAAACAAAACAAGATACACAGAAATAGCAGGAAATTGACACATTTAAAAGACAAAAGAAGTATTTTCTATAATTTATTAGGAGATAGGAAAGTTATTAAAGTATAATACTTGCCTCAAACACTTTCTCAACAACTGAAATTAATTTTATGCCTAAGCAAAACACTGCATGGTGGTGGAACATGTAAGGTTCACTGATTTTGAATATTCTATTCAAAATATTTCAAAACAAAAAGATTATGCAATCAATTATTTGAACAAATAGAATGAAGCATAAAAGAGAATAAGCAAAAAAAAATGTTTAAACACTACATAAATATGGAAATAAATTTTCTTCCACTAAATATTCACTTAAATTTAGGGATTAGTAACTAAACTTGCATATTTCATAAGCAGTTTTTTTAAACTGATGAAATCTTGGAGATATTAACGAGAAAGAGGATCTTTAATTTTAACTTCAGAAATGTTTCCGATTGCATATATCTTCATGCCAATATATAGGACATTCATCTTGAGTATCCTGAATATTCACATTAGTTGAACAATATATAATATGAATGCTATGATTAATAAGCAGTAACTACCTCAAGGATTGTCCGATTTTGTTTTCATTAATTCGAATGTGATTATTTTGAAAAAGGTCTTAATAATGTCAATCCCTTTTGTTTATTTCCATTTTTCCCATCCTTTAGGGGAAATCTCTCTGAGGAAGGTTTTTTTGGTATGTGCATTTTGTTTATGCTACCCATGCCAAATAGATCTCCCAAGATGAAGCTCTGAGCTCATTTGGAAGTAATTTTGGGTAGCACATGAATCAGAACTCTTATTTTCTTCTCAGCACTACTGGTATTTTATTGCTTCCATCTATAGTCCAATATGCTTTTAGCACTAGAACCCTGAGGCCAAATACACAAAGCACTAAGAAAATGGGAAATTCTGGCGATTACAATTTTTGTCTCTCTTTCAGGGTTCTTCCCTCCCCTGGGAGAGTGAAATCACTTTAAGCTCACTATGAAACAGAAACAAGGTGAATACAAATGATTGACTGAAGTTGGTGATGTTGATTTAGGAATGTTTGGCTTATAGATCAGGTGTAAAACTCTTAAACCAGCTTGTCAAAGCCTGCTTGTCAAACACCTATAGATTTTTCTAGGCTTTGCCCAAATGTCACTTTCTCTATGAAGGCTTCTCTGGCCAGCTCAGGCAGGGTTAGTCACTTCCTCCTTATTGTAGTAGCTTGACATATTCCTATGTGTAGCACTTAATAAAATTATATTGCTTTTATTTTCCTTTCTCTCTCAACAAAGAGAGTATATGCATTTCTTTTTTATCTATACTAGAGCACCACACAAATCAAGTTGATTCTCTACAAATAACAATCAAATAACTGAAGAGTGGCTAATATTTGCCATCTGCACAACATTGGTTATCAGTCTTTCATCACTGATGAAAGCTGGAAGGAATTACCACATTTTCAAGATGAGGAAAGCTATGCCCAGAGAAGTTACATGATCCATGCAAGTTCCAAACAGCGAGTAAGTTGCACACATAGACCTAATACCAGCAAGTTTATGCTAATTTAGAGACAGAAGATATAGTTGTAGTGTTCCATAGGACAGAAGGCAATGACTGGCCATGACACGGAGTTAGAACTGCTTACCTGGCTGGCTTAAAGCTCCAGAGTGCAATCTGAGAGATTCTCAAAAAGTTAACATAAATGCATACAAAACTGGACTTAAAATGTCAATCTCACAAAGGAAATGATGTATGGCAAACTGTTTCCTTTTACTGAAGCAACAAGCACATAGACTAAAAATAAGTCTTATTTATGCATATTAATTTACATGACATTGTTGCTGAAAATTTTAAAATAACAGATTTTTAAAGAGGTATGTCTTAGAGATTAGTCATAAAATCACTTGTTTTATTAAGCAAACAAATGAGTAGCTCACAAGTATAAGTGACTCATTAAAGTAAATACGCTTGCCAGTGACAGCAGCAGTGCACAGAATCAGGTCTTTTAATGATATTCTTATGTTTTCAAAATAAATTGTGAGTGAAAAGCAAGTATAATTCTTAGCAAACCTTATAAAGATGGGCTAATATGACTAGACTGTAACACAAAGATTGTCAGTTTAAAACAAGGCTCCATATTTTGAAAGAAACTTTCAAAGGTCATTTACATAGCCTACCACAGAACCAGTTTCTCATGTAGAATATGAAAGGAACTTATTCACAAATCATAGCCTTTTAATGTGCTTTGAGAAAGATATTTTTAGGTACTGAATTTCAAGCTAGGTGCAATTATTATGTTCTATTCACATTCAGGGCCACTTAAGAACTAATACATTTATTTTCTGTAAAACTGCAGAAGAAAAATTCCAGGCCAAGAATTTTTAATCTGTCAATTCTTGTTAAAGAGCGATAATATACAATCAATAAGGCCAATAGGTATATAAAGCACCAATGGAAAAAAAACACTTAAACACAGAAAGAACAGTTGTTGCAATATTGTAAGAATTATTACTTACCAGAAACAAAGTGCGGAAGTTGCTCAAGTCACCGAAAAACTCTTCTATGCTGACAGTCTTAGAATCAAAAATAAAATATTCTCCGAGATTATCATAAAGTTTTACCATATTGTTGTGCATGGTGAGAAGTTTTTCATATTGGTCTCTGGCACTCTTTGTAAAGCTGTAGCTCTGAGTTAAGGAACATGAACCAATCGTACTTTAATAGCAATCATTAGATATAAGATTGAATTATACAATAATTTCTTTAAACAAATGTGAAATAATTTGCAGAAATGTATACATAATTCAGTATAACTCTGGTGCCTATTAATACAAGAACAAGGTATAGGCATCTCTGGGCTGTTCTCTGGCCTTTCTCCTTGGCTTACAATTGGTTGTTCTTTCAATATTTCTTCACATGGTGGTTCCTCTGTGTTGCCTGTTTATCTCTTCTCCTTATAAGCAAACTAGTCAAATGAATTGGGGCCCACCATAAGAACCTCATCTTTAGCATATCTTTAAAGGCCCTATATCCTTATTTTCAATCTAAATGAACTTGTTTTTAACTTTACTACTTCTTTTAAGGCATCATCTCCAAATACAATCACATTCTGAGTTTCTGTGCTTTAGCCTTTCAACACAGGAATTCCGAGGGGATAGAATGCAACTCATAACAACTTTAGATTCATTATATTGATCAGTGAGTTTTGAAAATCTGGAAATTAGGCTGTACTAACAACGACGAGGAAAGTATTTCCTAAATGAAAGCACATCACTACAAATACCAGAAAATTACTTAACAACTTTTAACAAAGTATGCTACTAACAAGAAATTGAGAAAACCTATTTTTCTCTTTTTTAATATATTCTATACAGAAAGGTTATAATAAACTCTACATATAGGTTATGTCCACACATAAACTATATACACATACATGTGTTTTTATATGTATATACATATACATATGTACATATAGATTCCATGAGGATGGAAAGAAGATCTAGACAGATGAGTGAGAAGGAAGGTGAGGAAGAGGCATGAATAGGAAAAGAAGGACAGGAGGAGGGAAGGATCCTGTTTTGTTTCTAGAACACTCCCCCCATTCCCACCCCCCGCCCCCCACACACAAAGGAGCTTGCTATTTTGGTGATCCTGAGACACAATCCTAAGGATCAGTATTGCAAACAAATTCTCACGTGATGTGGTGATTCCAGGTTCATAGTTTGAGTAGCATGCTCTAGACAATTAAGAAGAGGTGATTGCAAACATAGATTGTTACATCACTGTTTTCAAAAGTTTAGCAAAAAAAAAGGATAACAACTATGACTACCAATAGCATAAAATGGACCATATTTTTAAAAGTGTCTGATAAAAGCCATCTCATTACATGTAAATTTATAATTAGAGAAACAATAATGCATTCTTACTGATAGTATATGTAAAAAAGATGATTTCTTTAGGCAACTTAGTAATATACATACATACATACATATATATATATATAAATATATATATATATTTATATATATACACACACATCTGGGGGCCTCCCTAGTGGTGCAACAGGTTATAGCACAGCACTGCAAAGCAATCAATAGCAGCTTCAGCAGTTTGACCCCTGGCCAGGGACATGACCCACATGGAACAGCAGACTTCTTCTGTCTCTCCCCTACTCCCTTCAGCAGTGCATTTCAGTTGATCTGTCTCTTCTGCTACCTACTCAGTCTCTGGTGAATCTTCTCACCACACCACCAACTCTGTCCTGTACCCCAGTTTTGTATGCATAAATAAATCTTTAAAACAATATATCTAACAATAGAGACATATGGGGGAAATTCTGAAGCATTTCCTTCTGGTCATTCTTTCAGCATTAATAGTTTTAGAATACTCAACGATAAGAATGTTTCAGCAAAAAGTAAGTAGGCTAGCCATGAAGAATAAAGGGAACCAAATCCCCTTCTTGAAATTAGTTTGGGTCTCCTTGGTGGTTCAGGGGTTAAAGTCTCAACACTATCAAGCAATCAACAGTCACTGCAGCATGAGTTTGATCCCAGGCCAGGGAGCTGATCCACAGGGCATAGCAGACCACTTCTGCCTTGCCCACTGCTCTTCTTAGCAGTGTGTTTCAGTGGATCCACCTGTTCTGGTCCTCACTATGTCTCTTGACTCCTCTCACCCCTTCACACTTCTGCCCTATACACCCTAGTCTTTGCATGCATTAGTATATCTTAAAATAAAAGTTAAATCAATTCAAAGCCAGTAACCATAGAAGAAAAATGTTTTCATACATCAAAATAATGGAACTGTAAAACATGAACAATAACACTGTTAGGGATAAACAGTCTATTAGCATTTTGTGGTAGTAATTTTTTAGCAGGTGCTGATAATTGCGTCTTGAAAATTTAATTTTTTAAGATACTCTGAATATTTCCATGAGTTTTATTATAACCTGGAGCCAAATTTATTTTCCATGGGAATACAGCTCTAGTTTTACAATGGAAGTGAATGTGGAAATCATATCATATCTTGAAAATTACCTTGCATCTGACATTTAATCCAACATGATTTTAAATAAGATATTCCCTTCCTATATTCATTCTTATGCTATATAGACATTAGCATTTGGAGTGGCAACACAACTCCATCTGACCTGCTAAGAAGGTGACATTATAACTTTCAGACCTCAAGTCCATTTTGATGTCAACAGACTTGAAAGAATTAAAACATCTCTGACACTACTTTTTATCAAAAAACAGAATACAACACTACATGCACATACTAATTTTACCTCTGAGAATATCACCATATATATTGTATTTATTTTTAAAGATTTATTTCATTTACTTATGCATATAAAAACCAGGGTGTATACTACAGGTGTGTGTGTGGGGTGAGAGTATTCGCAGAGAGAGTGGGTAACAGAAAGGCAGATTCACTGCAATACACTGCTGAGAGCAGCAGGCAGGACAGGAGAGGTCTGCTGCGCCCTGTGGGTCAGCTCTGTGGTCTGGGATCTGACTCATACTGCAGGGGCAGAGGACAGCTTGATAGCTAGGAGACTTAACCCCTCTGCTCTACCAGGGAGTCCCTACATAATTTATTTAATTTATAAGGATATGTTACCCTGTTTAAGAGTTGTAGTATAAGACAATGTTCTTCATTGGACAGAGTCACCCTTCCTTAAGTAAAACACTCATGCCAGAGACTTGCTAGGCAGCAACACTCTGCAAAGGTCACCTACTTGTACTATATTTGCAATGCAAAGTACAAAACTGTTTGTGTTTGACTATTTCAACGTAACATAATTTTTCACTAGCTAAAATATGTCCATGTAGTAACACAATTTCATAAATTTGCTCTTAGAACAAAAACTGATTTCAGAAATTCTGTGTACCAAAGTGAGAACATTTAAAAAAAAATTGGGATTGGTTTATCTTAGAAATAACAAATGAAGGGCCTCTCTGGTGACACAATGGGTTAAAGCTATCCACAGCCACTGCAGCAAGAGTTCAATCCCAGGCCAGGGAGGCGAACCACATATGTGTAGCAGACTTCTCCTATCTCCCCGCTGCTCCCCTCAGCAGTGTATTTCAGTCCATCTGGCTGCTCTGCTCCCCACTCTGTCTCTGCTGAATCCTCTCACCCCCACACCCCTTGGCCTGTACTCCACTCCTTGTGCGCATAAATAATCTTTATTTTAAAAAAAAGAAAAAAGAAATAATAAATGGATAGCAGCCCATCTTCCAACTGCTCCATTATCATCAAAGTGGATTATCTGTAAAAGGGAAAGATGGCATGAGTCAGCACTGAAATGGTCAAATCACATTGAAAGGAACTGAGACCAGGAGAACTTGGGAAATGGGAAAGGCTGAGACGTGGAACAGTGACTGTTAACAATATAGGATCAGAAGGAAAAAAACAGCTTCCAGAAAAATTGAAGTGTTTTGCTGAAATGTTGCTGAACTAGCCATTACCAAGAGTAAGATCTGATCCCAGGACAATTAGGGAAGAGAAAAACCACCACCAGGAAACCACCTGATCACCTAGTGCATAACCCATACTCTGGCACATTGGGTAAAAGAAGTCTTACAGAGTCTATAGTTATAGACAGGGCTGCAGTAAATAGGAGTCGCTTTCTTTGGTGTGGCAGCTGCTACAAAGCCAGGAGCATCCAAACTCTTAACGAGATCACTAAATTCTACTTGAGACAGCAAGTTAAAAATAAATAAAGAAATTAGTTAATTAACTTTTAAAAGGCTAGATACTGTCCATTTTTGCCCCTTTACTTTGAAGGACTGCCCGCCCCATGATGTTCAGGCCTTCCCAAGATGTTTTATTTTGGCACATGGATTATTTCTTAAAAAAAAAAAAAAAAAAAAAAAAAAGATTTATTTATTTATTTATGCATACAGAACTGGGGTACAAGCCAGTGGTGCAGAATTATCAAAAAATAGAATACAACACTACATGCACATACTAATTTTACCTCTGAGAATATCACCATATATATTGTATTTATTTTTAAAGATTTCATTTACTTATGCATATAAGAACTCTGGTGAGAAGATTCACCAGAGACAGAAAGATTGACTGAAACACACTGTTAAGGAGAGCAACAGGCAAGACAGGAGCTTGCCAGGACATGTGGGTCATCTCCCTGGCTGGGGATTGAACTCATGCTGCAGTTTCACAGTGCTGCACTTTAACCTGCTGCACCACCAGGGAAGGCCCTGGCATATGGATTATTTCTAGCTGAGGTCAACTGAGGGCCTGTAGGTTCATGAGAAACATTTATGTAAAAATAAGGTAGGTACCCAGAATTATGATTTTTTTTTAAAGATTTATTTATTTGTGCATACAGAACTGGGGTACAGGCCAGAGGCTCAGGGGCGGTGAGAGGCTTCACCAGAGACAGAGTGGGGAACAGAACAGGCAGAGCGACGAAGTACACTGCTGAGGGGAGCAGCGGGCGGGTCAGGAGAGGTCTGCCACACCATGTGGTCACCTCCGGGGCAGGCGGGAATTGAACTCATGTGGAAGCAGCTTTAGATTCTCAGTGCTGTGCTTTAACCTGCTGCGCCACCAGGGAGGGCCCAGAATTATGATTTTTACAAAAATAATGTTTTTATTACAGAAACCTATCTAACTGGCAGGGGAAACATAGTTACAGACCATTCTTTTC